ATCTCTCTTTGTAGTTGTGTGGTATATCCTACCATGTTAGTCACTGGCTTTATGGCTGGCTGCGCTACAGATCCAGGATGCTGGGGTGATGTCTGAGTTGTACAGAGTCATTTCACTTGGTAGGAGGGGGAAGAGTGGGTTTAGTCAAACAAATGGTTTTATATGAGTAGCTTTGTACAGAATAGTGGCTTTTTTGCTTTTGGGAGGGCTGGCTAGGTGATGTAGTGTGGGGAGGACCCTCCCACCCCTGAAAAACTTCCTCTGTTAAATATGTATTGCTTCTCTGCAAAATGGGGTGGTGTTGCAGGTGTGGTCTGCAGTCATGTCAGACATAATACCTGATCATCCAGTCTTTGCCAAAGAATAATTTTTCTCTTCTTTAGAGATCTGTGGTAAAGATGCCTTTCACCATGGTACCTGCGGGGCAGCGTGGTGTCCTTGAGTCTGCACCAGAGAGAAAGAAAATGGCAGTTTGCATTAGAGACTACTGTATCCTCCTGCACCTGAGAGAATGATATAAAGCTGTGAAGGGAACTGAACAGCTGTGATCCATATACTCCATTATTAATACATTTTTGTATGAAAACACTTGTTAGGGACAATATGATTGTATTAATGTCTGTGGGTGATTTAGCAGATACTTATGTCTGCTCCTGGGTAGGTCATGCACAAATCTCTTCTGCAATGCTGTTTGCCTCTAGGAATAAATGGGACATGTGAACTGTGTAATTGCTTTCCAGCCACGCTGTCAGGCAGCACCCTCCTTAGACATGGAGACGTGAGGCACACCTCTTTATCTCTGAGCACCCATCAACATGAATGCAAATGGGTGACACGTAAGCCTGTTGGCTGTGTGCTAAAGAGGTGGTGCTAGAAAAACACTCCGCTGAAGTACTGTCTCCAGTGTGCCCTAACTATTCCTTTAGCAGAGTTTGGGGTAAGTGCTATACTTTACTTTAAATTGATGTGCTTGAGGACTGTCTGATCAAGCATGTCCAGATCTGAATTTTACACTCTGTGTGTGCATGTACACAGTTTTCTTTGCAGCTCAATTTTATTTTTTTTTGGCTTGTGTTTTCATTTATTCATCTCTTCTTCCTTCTTCCTTCTGCCCTCCATCAGCTCTGTAGCAGCAAAGGGGTTGCATGTTTTGTGCAAGGCCAGTTTGTTCGGAAAGCATATTCCCTGTCCCCATACTGCACAGGGGAAATCCTGCATGCCAACCCGATTTCCTTAATTTATTCAGGAACAACACTGCTGTACTCTTGAATATTTTATCACACAATAAGGTTGTGATATTTGTGTCCTGGAGGCAAAAATATGAGCCTTTTAACGTTGATGCCTGTTAATGTGAAAGTGCCTTGGACTAGGAGATCCCCTGAACAAGAGCAACGCTTGCTTTGCAGAGCATCCCTTCTTGGCAAGCCACAATTTGGACGCGTGTGCATGTGGAGGCTCTGAAGTGGCAGCTCTACAGGCACAGCTGAAGTGACGGCTTTGGGGATCTCGGCAATGGAAAAGGCCAGTGGAATTTTCTAAGCACTTGCTTATAGCCCCTGTCCATCTGCGTGCTAGGAGATGTGCAGTGCCAGAGCTGAATGGGATTTGAGGAGGTGTTTACCAAAGGCAAAACCCTGAAGGGCTTGATGTGGAGCCTAACACTGTGTCCATCAGTGATTTTTTTTTTCAGCCAAGGAGTTCTTACTCTTAGAAGGAAGATTTGGGAATGATGATGAATTCAGATTTTTTTTCTTGTGGTGACCTGATGAATTCTAATTGTATCGTTAATTTTCTCTGATTCTTTCTTTTCTACCTCCCACTCTCCTGATACCCGAGGCATAGAAATGTGGAAGGAAAGACAGGAAGGTGTGAAGCTACAAAGCCTAATTTTAAAAAAAGCAAAATTGGAAGGAAAAAATGGCATGGGTTTTTAGTAAGAGGGCCATGACTTTTAAAAACTCCACAGCAGTTTTTGTTATGAATAGACTTTGCTGTGACTGTATTTTTGTTTCTGTTGTGTGGAGCTGGATTTGTCTGGGCACTAGGACTGCAGGTCTTGGAAGCAGAGGGTGGAGATCACTCTTTAAATATTTGTACAGGGAGGAGGACAAGGCTTGAAACTGCTATGAAAATAGCTCTTTGCATGTCTCCAAGGATAGGGGAATTGTGCAGGGTTTCGCAAGAACCACTCCCTGGAGATACTTGAATAATAGATTGGTATTATGGGGTGCAATGAAAGGTGTGTGCATTTCAAAAGCCAAAGGAGAAAATTTCCTTCTCGAGCAAATCCTTTAGAAGGCGTTTTATGCCCTTCCTGTGAAGGGCTCCTAGTCCTCTAGGCATCATTTGCAAGTTTGTTATCAGCCATATGGAGAACTGAGGTTTAAGTGGTCCAGATGATGTGGCGTGTTTGTCCAAACAGATACTCTACAAGTCAGATATGACACTAGGAATACCTTTAGGTTTTACTTCCCCAAGGTCTAACCTTAACCTTTCTGTTTTAATGAGAGCTTTCACCCAGCCCTGTTCAGCAGAAGGGTGCAGCTGAATTGTAAGTTTCTTACAGCTCCAAGTAAGAGCTGTAGCTCCCTTGCTTCCTCCATAAGGTCTTGCACAGGGTACATGATAAAACTGCTTCCTTACGACATAAATTAGGAGTGATTAGGTGGCACTATCATTTGTATCTGTTATTAAAATTATGTTCTATGTACCTATAGCTAGCTAACAAAATACCAACACGACAAGGCAAGTACTTCCGTACAGGTGGGACAGCATAGTAAAAGACATGAAGCTAGCTTGTCTGTGTATAATATACTGGCCCTAAGATTTGCATTTAAGCCTTTTAAAGCAACAATTGATTTAGTTGTATTGAAGCTGAAAGAACATATGCTTGAGTAGAGGGGGAGTTTACACAGCCCTTTGAGAACATCCGAGGGCAAAGAAACCCCATATATAAGATGGAAGTCTAAATCAAATCCAGTCTTTAGTAAAAGTCTCCTTGTTTGCTTTTTAAAATATGTCTGCTTTTATTCTAGTGCATTTCAATGAAAAAGCTTTGTAGAGCTACAAGGTAGGTGATCTGATTTTACTGTTTTTTTTTCCTTCCCCACGATGGGGGAGGATTTAAAAAACAACACAAAGTTCCCAGAAATGCTTTTGCTGGTATGTGTAAGTGTGTCTAATGGATCAGGGCTTTCAGTTTCTTCTAAGAATGTTCTTAGGTCAGTGTGTGGCTGCCTGTTCAACTTGCTTACTTGAATATGCTACTCCTTCAGACCTGCGAGGTGGATGCAGGCCTGCAGTTGTCGTGCATTTATGTAAAAACTCACTGATAACTATTACTGCAGGGTTTTTTGTTTCAAATTTTTACTCATTGCAAAACTTTGTATTAGAACACAACAGCAGAAAGTGAATTGGCTAGCTGTGGCATGGTAGTGAGTGTGAACTCTGTCACCTAAAACCCCTTTCCTGTAAGGTTTTACTGTCCTTGATGGTACAATGTGAATTATGCCTTGGCTGGGGAAGGGGAGACTTTAAAACTGGAAATGGCAAAAAAGTGTCAGATGCTTTTCCACTGACTCCTCAGTTGGAGAGTGTCTGGGTGTAACCATTGTCTGTGTGTGATCATGGTCAATCCAGTCGTGGCTAAGTTGACTAATCACAGTTCTGTCTTGTAACCAAGACCAGTACTAACATAGGGTTGAAGCTTTAAAGATAGTTATGGTTTTAGCTTAAATGTGGTGATTGACGCCCACATACTTGAGATACAGAGTTTGTTCCAAACCTCAAGCTGTGAGTTGATATTCAAGAAATGAATTGATGTTTTGCCATTGATGCAAACTACTGCAGAATAATTTTATCTAGTTCAGGCTACAAATAGTTCCAAAAATAGTTATTTACAGTTGAAACAGCAGATTTCACTTCTTTTTGTATTTTTTCATCATCTGTCTTATTTTTTTGTATTTTAGTATCTATTTCCCTCCTTCATAAGAGACAATTTAATGCCAGTTTTATGTTGCTTTTAGAATGGTTATTTTAGGCATATCTTTTCATCTTCATGTCTTTGAACACAACATAAGGCAGCTCTGTACTTTTTGTTTTGGGGGAAGAGAGGCTCAGT